CATCTGAAAGCTGAATAAATAATCTTTCCATTGATGTATGGTTTGTTAGGATAGGACAATATTTGGCTGAGATACAACTATTTGAATATCTGGAATCTGAGGGTGCAAAAAAATCTAAATATTGAGAAAATCATCTTTAAAAGTTGTTCAAATGAAGTTCTTAGCAATGCATATTACTAATCAAAAATATTTATTGTAATAAATTTACAGAATATCTTCATGGAACATGATCTTTACTTAATATCCTAATGATTTTTGGCATAAAAGGAAAATGGATAATTTTCACCCATACAATGTATTGTTGTCTATTGCTACAAATATACCCCAGCGACTTAACACTGCTTTTGTGCTGCAGGCTCACATACGTGGAAACAGACGACTGCGTTGTTGAAGCTATGCGGTTTTGTTTGCCGTCAAACGGTTGAGCACTGCCACGCGTGTATGCTGTCGCAAAATGTGGTGAAAATCCTGCACGCCGGTAATAGTGTGATTAAGGCGTGTACATGTCTATACTGCACTTCAATAATGCGACTGAAATAGGAATATTCCACATGTCTTAAATCTGATTTGTGTTTACTTCGAGTATGACTTAAGCCGGATTAAGTTAATCAGAAATTTGTTTGCATGGTAGATTCTTAATCAGAGTATTGTCTTGAATATTGTTGTCCATGTAAACGTCCTGGCTGATGAGAAAGGCACCTTCTGTGCGGTCGTCCTCAGTGCAGACGGCGTGTCCGCGGGTCAGAGCGTGGAGCGGCCGCGGGTCGCCGGGTCTCGGGACGCAGCGCAGGCCGGCGCCGCAGTGAGCCGTATAAACACCGCAGGACTCTCCTTTCTTCAGCGCGCAGGACGAGCAGCATCCGCAGCCCGGCTCTCGCAGCACCTCCGGACAGTCCGAGGACACGGCGGGGCAGGAGTCCAGCTGCTCCGGAGAGCATGGAGCACAGCGGATGGGTTCAGGCCCGATCACCGGAGAAAGATCCGCCGGACAGACGAGGACGCTCACCAACAACACCAACACACACAGCCTTCTCATAGCAGAACCAGAGATGTGCTGAAGCCAATATCTGCTGCTGTATGTCAGATCTGCTCTCGGTGCGTGTGTGCCGTGTTTTATACCGTGACATGACCTCAGAGGAGTTAACCATTGACACGCCGCTCGCCTGTATTAATTACGCCTGTTTTCAGTGCACAGGTTTGCTCTGGTTGCGCAGACGTCAATATTTACTCTAGGACGAAGTGCGCAATATGGGACGACGCAACATCTGTGACCCGATTCACCAGAAACAGGTTCATGATGCTGCTGTTTATCATCTGCACTCTCAAAAAAAAACGTACAAAAGCAGTCACTAGGATGGCACCCTTTCAAATGGTACTAATATGCATCATTTAAGTACTAATACACACTTCAAGTGCTAAAATGCAACTACACTAGTCAACATTTGAAGTGGGTCAAAAAAAAAAAAATCATCAAGGTTGTCCTAACAAAAGAACACATTTTGGTTTTAGGTTTTAGTGCAACTTTGATGATCTATATATATATGTGTATATACAGTAGTCAACATTTGAAGTGGATCAAAAAAATTAATTAAAGTTGTCCTAACACAAGAACACATTTTGGTTTTAGGACAACTTTGATGAAAGGTTTTGATCCTCTTCAAATGTTGACTACTGTATTATGGGGTAAATACGGTACAAAGGTGCATCTTTTGAAAAGGTACCATCCCAGTGACAGCTTTTGTCGTCTCATTTCTGAACATGTATATCAATAACGTAGCATGTAAACACATTTGCCTGTCACACAACAGGAGTTATGCGAGCATATCTCAATGTGTTTTTGACCACACTTTGAGTTGGGTCACAAAAACAAGGTCATGTGGTCATTGCATAACAGGACGGGTTAATCTGAGGTCTTCAGCCATCATAACATGTTTGTCATGAGGTGCCTGTGCAGTAATTAAGAGCTCCTGGTGTAGTATTAGTCCAACGTTGGACACTAAGATCTCTTGCATGAGGTCAACCAATAGTTGAATAATAGACATCAGACGCTACAGATTTGTGATTCCAGTAGCATTAATAATTGAATCGAGCTTTAATGGTGAGCACATCTTATGAGTTCAAGCTTTGTTTGTGTGCTCGGCATCTTTTGAAAAGGTACCATCCCAGTGACAGCTTTTGTCGTCTCATTTCTGAACATGTATATCAATAACGTAGCATGTAAACACATTTGCCTGTCACACAACAGGAGTTATGCGAACATATCTCAATGTGTTTTTGACCACACTTTGAGTTGGGTCACAAAAACAAGGTCATGTGGTCATTGCATAACAGGACGGGTTAATCTGAGGTCTTCAGCCATCATAACATGTTTGTCATGAGGTGCCTGTGCAGTAATTAAGAGCTCCTGGTGTAGTATTAGTCCAACGTTGGACACTAAGATCTCTTGCATGAGGTCAACCAATAGTTGAATAATAGACATCAGACGCTACAGATTTGTGATTCCAGTAGCATTAATAATTGAATCGAGCTTTAATGGTGAGCACATCTTATGAGTTCAAGCTTTGTTTGTGTGCTCGAACAAATACGGCTGATGTTCTTCAGGATTGCTGTAGGTCCATCAGTGCCTATACTCACACACGCCACGAGCAAATCATTTACATCCCACCCACACACAAGTCCAGCCATAGATTGTGCAAGAAGAACGAAAACAGTGCACTGGAGATGGAGAATTAAACTTCAGAAAAAAATACATTTAAATATTACAAACACAAATGATGACCTCGAGTGTGAAGAGAGGTGAAATGCTCAGCAGAAGATGTGTTGGCTGTTAAAGCTCACTGTCTGAGGGATCTTCATTCAATGGTGAGCTCATGTGTCGTGGCCTCCTCGATGTCTCGCATCAGATTCACCAGCCACTGCGGCAGATTCACCTGCTGAAACACAGATTAAACCAGTGATTCCCAAACCAGGGCTTGTAATGACAACGCCATGATATCACAAGAGCAGAAGAAATAAAAACATGCCATTGAAACATGTTGATTTCTAATTTACATTCATTTAAACTTTTACGTTATTTTTGCATTTAGATGTAAAATACAAGTGCATTTGCTAAAAAATAATTTGTTTTTCAAATGTTTTGTAACCTTTACATAGTGTTTAGAATCACAACAAGAAAACTGGACATTTTAGTGTTTTAGAAACGTTTAAAAATATTCCTCACAACATTTGGATAGGGGTTATTAGCTAGATATTTCTGTACAGTCTATACATTAACTTAGCAGTTTAACCCTGAGAGGTGGATGCTGTCGACCCGTTGGGTTAAGTGTACTTCTATATGAATGCTAACGCAGTTGGTTGGAAACTCTTGCACCTTATGAGACGGTGACTTGCTTGTCCGTTTAGTTGTCTGTCTATCATGGTGGCTAGTAGGCACCCGAAGCTCTTTGAGGGTTAAACTCCAGTCTTTGCTGGTCTGATGGATGCTCTGAGCTCCAGACGCAAGCTCCAGAGACTCGTCAGGCTCCACGAGCTCGGAGATGGTGTGTAAGGAACTCATGAAGAACACAGCGAGTCTGTTCTTCAACAAGAACGTCCTTCAGCCACTGAACGGATGCTTTGATCTAAAAGAGCATATGGATAAAGTCAAAAACAACAATTAAGTAGTTGGCATAATCATTTATTATTAATTCTTGGAAAAATATTTGATCAAAACTGCTTCACTGCTTATTAATTTTTTTTAAAAAGTCTCAAGTCATGTGCTGCAACTACTTAAAGATGCATAAAACAAAGCATACACAAAAAGTGATTTGAAAGAAAAGAGCCATTATAATTTAGCTCAGTTAAGATTGTTGTGCAACTGCTCAAGTGTAAGGTGACCATATGTGCCATTTTCCCAGGACCCATCCTGGCCAGGATTTCTATATTGCCTAAAATATCTAGGTTTTGACTTTGTTTGTGTGTGCAGACCGATCGGTGTGTGACATCAAAGTACCATACAGACGGTTATGCTTTCGAAACGCTCTCGAGGTACTTTGATGTCAAACACTGATCGGTCTGAGCCGCACTGCTTTTAAGTCGAACACACCTAATATGTACGCGTAATTGCATCGCTTTGACCGTAGATCCCACCTTCTCACACGCCATGATTGGTCCATTATGTACAATGCTTGCATGTTATTGGTCAAACTACTTTTCGATCATTACTTTCAGCAAGCATGAAAACAGGAAAACAAAGCCAAAACAAATCCTGGCCAGGACGCATCCTGGGAAAATGGCACGTATGGTCACCCTACTCAAGTGCAACATTCTCTTAAAAATTTTATAAAAGCGTTTCAAAACCTCATGACAACAAAAAGTGTATTTCTAAGAACTTGGCACATGAAAGGTTGTAGTTTTAGCATGGAGACATTTATAAGTCACTGACCGGTTTGCTCTTTGTTTAATCTTGCTTCTGTCTAGAAGAAATAGTTGGGATAATCCAGAAATACTTTTCCAACAGGCCACACAGATCCTCGATTTAAATGTATCACACGTCCTGTAGGTTACCCATCTCACCTGCTACAAACACACTTCACCTGGTGATTGTGGTCACCTGTGGACATCATCAGATGCAGAACGAAGAAGAAGAAACACTGCATCCACTGGCCTGGATGAATGAAAACACAGGTGAGTCAGTATTGTGTATATGTTTTTGATGACTGATACAAATTACATTTACAAATAGCCTTTTATTCTGTATTTATTTCAAATTTAATAATGCATGCAGAATCTAATTAAATATCTGCAACATCACAGCATGATTCATTACTGAAACTATTTAGTGCAGTGGTTCTTAGCTCTGTTCCTGGGAACCCATCTCTCTGCACATGTTGCATGTCTCCCTTATATGACACACCTGATTTAGATCATCAGCTCGTTAGGAGAGACTCCATGAACTGAACTGAGTGTGTCAAATAAGGGAGACAAATGTCCAGAGCGGGGCTCCCCAGGACCAGGATTAAAAACCACTGACTTATGGCGCTTTTCCACTGCATGGTACGGCACGGTACGGCTCGGTACGGTTCACTTTTGGGGTGTTTTCCACTGGGTACAGTACCTGGTACCTGGTACTTTTTTTAGTACCACTTCGGTTGGGGTTCCAAGCGAACCGTACCGTTACCAAAACGTGACGTGTAAACACTGCTGATCACGGATTGGCCGGAAAGAATCGTCACTACCTGCGTCACTGAACTTGCGACACAAACACAAAAGAACCGCTAGATTTAAATCAGCACAGCCAGCGAAGGATAGAACACAACTGTTTTGAACGAGCGCACCTTTTTTTTAACAACCAAAAAGTTTTGTTGTCTGTTGCGGAAGAACAGACGTTCCTCTCGTTGATAGCAGAGGAGCGGATCCAGCGAGAGCTTGATGGGGCGACGCGGAATGAAAAAGTTTTTTTTAGGAGTCGTGGTAGTAGAGGCGGCGCGACTATAACGACATGTGAATAATCCCGCCCACTCTAAAGTGGTACTGAACTGCAGTGGAAACGCAAACCGTGCCGAGCCGAACCGTGCCGTGCCGTACTGAGCCGTACCGAGCCGAGTCGTACCACGCAGTGGAAAAGCGCCATTAGTGTGATCATGTTCTCATTATGAATGTGGAAGGATGGTATCCAATGACTCAAGTCGTCTAGCAGAAGAATCACTGACATTAATATGACATTAAGTCCATCCCGTGGTCGATTTCCCCACCGCACTTTGGATGGGATAAATGCAGAGCACTAATTCCGAGTATGGGTCACGTCACTCACACTTAAGTCATTGAGAATGAATTAATATGACAGCAGACAGCAAAGCTGTAATTCTGGGGCGAACTCAGACAACAAGAGAGGATCCAAATGCAGATATACATTTCAACAATAAATGTCATCATCATCCTCATCATCACCATCAGATATAAAACACAGGAACTAGGGGGAAAAAACAGAACTGGTCAAACCCAACAAACCACCATAGAAAGACAATACCAGACAATTAACACCGGAAACACTGGGGGTTATATACAAGGGGGATAATAGGACTAACTAGATACACTAACACAAGCCAACAGAGTGGGAGACCTCTGGCAGGAAACATAGAGAACTCAGAAACAGACTTTACAGTACATGTAGGGAATATAGCGAACCTTTGTGGGAGTGATAGACAGGTAGTTTGGAAGACGACACTGATGCCCCAGATGGAGCTGAAGCAGACACTGCCCCCTTTTGCTGGAGATGACCGATGGAGTTAGTGTGCATGGCCCAGACATACAGGATGGTGGCAGACATTACCAGAAGCACCTCCGGGACTACCGTAGTCCTAGAAAACTCCAGGAACACTGGACTTAAGAGCACTGGAACTACAGAACTGGGGGACCACTGGACTAGGGAGTGCTGGGATAACCAGACGTGAGCCCAACAGACTCGTAACCACCAGACTAGGGAACTCTGGGATTACCAAATGTGGGACCACCGTACTAGAGAGCACAGGGACCACCAGACTTGGGATCACCAAACTTGAACACTAAGAACATCAGACTTGGGATCAGCGGATTTAGGACTAGTAGACTTGGAAGCGCTGGGACCATAGGAACTGTCTGTAGGATCTGTGAAATAAACTCCTCCAGACTCAGCTCAACACAGTCCAGTGGGATCTTGTGCGTGTGTGAGTGCGTGTGTGTGTGTGTGTGTGTGTGTGTGTGTGTGTGTGTGTGTGAGTGTGTGTGCCTCATGGATGGGTTGTTGACCTCCGTGTCAGTAGATGATCACTGTACCCTTGTGCCCACACACACTACACATAACTGACCTCTTTAACATCAAACCATCCGCCTCGCTCAGGCATAAGCCTCAGTAACACGTCACACATTCATGAGTGAAAACCTCTTGTACACATAGTTCTCTTACTGTGTAAAACAGAGTATTTGATAGTTCCAGTCATGTGAATGTCACGCTGATATTATTACAGTGAATGCTGATGACAAAATCATGTCCAATCATTACACTTCAGATTGAGATTTCATTTAATTGGCACATATTCAGCATGTGGAGGTTTGTCCCTGTTAATCACACACTTTATCACAACATACACACACACAGTGGGGTCCAAATGCCTGACACCACACTGACAATCCAAGATACAAAATATAGTTTAAATCCGGAAAGAAACATAATTTAAACTAAGTTATGACATTTAATAAATAGCCAGCTGACAAAAATATGCTCTGCAAATGTTTTGCTAACATTCCCATTAAATTATGAAAACAATATTTCTGAACGTTCTATGAATGTTCAAAGTGGGGGTATATATATATATATATATGTATAGGCTATACAAACATTAAGGAAACATTGCATTTTATAATTTTGCAAACATTATGGGAATGTTATTTTTGAATGTTCTTTGGATGTTTTGAGTAGTTAGTGGTGACATTTAAAAAACATTAGATGAACAATTAAAATGGTTCAGAAATAAAACATTCCATGAATGATGTATAAATAATGTTTTTCTGCTAACATTTTGAGAGCATTAGTAAACAACAGACAACAAATGTTCCATTACCGTAAGTAAATGAGTGTCACTGATCATGTGACACTTTCACATTCATTTTTTTTTTTTCACTCCAGTAACTACACCTCACTCTATTTGTTCTACTAATGCAATTTGTAATGAAAAATTACATTCAATCATGAGAATGTGAAACTGAAGCTGTTTCAGTGCAGTGTCAGATGATTTGGACTCCACTGTATGTATGAATATAAATATCAGATTGTAGTTTATAGTGTCAGAACAGTCTATCAGTGTGACTGCAGCCGAGGATGATGATGATGAAGCTGTTATCAAACTCCCTGATTTCTCTTGTTCTATATACACACATGCTGCTTTGAAACAGTGTGTACTGATATATAATCATTCTGTGTCCTGATGTAAGGCTTTGGAAGTGTCACATAACTTGATTTTTATGATATTATTACAGCTGTAAATGTGTCTTCAAGATAGAAACATCGGAGATCTTTGATTTCTCCAGTCTCAAACTTTAGAAACATGATGAAGATGAAGGAGTGTGTGAGAATCACAATCTAGTGCACTGATGCAGAGCACGTCCTGCTGCTATTGCTGCTCTATATATTATAAACGTGCCACATTCATTCAAATGCACTGGAGAGTTTAATACAAAAAATAAACAACCCTGATTGTAAGAACTTCTACTATGTACAGCTCATATAAGAAGTTGGCATGAAAACTGAGAAATGACGCATTGCAGAAGATCATTCAAGGCTCTGACTGCCCAGGTTTTTTTTTTAAAAAGTACACTTCCATAATGTACTTAAGATGCTCTATTTTTGCGCACTCATTTTGTACACTTAATACACCAAAAATGATTCTTTAGATAAACTTAAGAACATCTAAGTGTACTCAACTGTGATATTTTGGGACACTGTGAATATGAACTAAAATGTGCTTTTAACATACTATCTCTGTATTTAATCACAATCTAGTGCACTGATGCAGAGCACGTCCTGCTGCTATTGCTGCTCTATATATTATAAACGTGCCACATTCATTCAAATGCACTGGAGAGTTTAATACAAAAAATAAACAACCCTGATTGTAAGAACTTCTACTATGTACAGCTCATATAAGAAGTTGGCATGAAAACTGAGAAATGACGCATTGCAGAAGATCATTCAAGGCTCTGACTGCCCAGGTTTTTTTTTTAAAAAGTACACTTCCATAATGTACTTAAGATGCTCTATTTTTGCGCACTCATTTTGTACACTTAATACACCAAAAATGATTCTTTAGATAAACTTAAGAACATCTAAGTGTACTCAACTGTGATATTTTGGGACACTGTGAATATGAACTAAAATGTGCTTACATACTATCTCTGTATTTAAAATACTGTATTTAGTCACCGCTTGTAGTACACTTGAGTGTACTAGTGTATGAAAGATGGTTCAAGTGTACTACAAGTGGTAAATAAATATGTTTTTTTACATACAAAGATACTATGTTAAAAGCACAGTTTAGTTCATGTAGTCAAGGTGTCCCAAAATAGCACAGTTGAGTACACTTAGTTGATCTTAAGTTTATCTTAAGAAGTACTAAAGAATCATTTTTAGTATATTAAGTACAA